GGCGTTCAGCAGGTGTATGTATGCTCACTGTATTACTACAATACCACCCAGCTGGTTAGTAGCGAGACTTCATAGAGGGGGTATTCCCTCCATGATGGAAATCCGTGGACCTGATTTTAGGTGTCCCAACAGTTCTACCCGGTTTCCGGTCTTTCATAGAAAACGCGTGGTATAAAAATAAGCAAACTCTCAAAAACATTTCGGCGCAGTTTTCTTCCTTTTTCAACATCACATTGGAGAACGTCTTCTTTCATGCCTAGTAAGATGGAACGCATGTGTCTTCATCATGCCCAAGTTGTGAATTTCTCACAATTTTATTTTGATTGGAAGAGTTTGAAGGCAGCCGATTAGAGCAAACAAAGTAACTCTATTACTGACAATCGAGTTTTGAAACTCTTAAATTTCGGACTCCTCAATCTTTGGTGCGCTTATGGCCCGTAGTAAACTCCCCGTCAGCGCATCTCCTCCGAGGCGGGCCTAGGTTGGCCTTACGGCGCCTCAGCGCGGTGTCAAGCGAGCCATCGATCCGGATGCGGATCAAATTGTATGCATGATAGAAACTTCATGTTCTCAAAGAAAAAGCAGCTCGGGAGATCGTGCAGGTTTGGTCAAATGGCTAAAGCTAGTGTAATGCAAGCGGCAGCACCAGGGTTCGCGCCCGGCACGTGCTGGCGTTTTTGCTATATCGCCGGGGCAATCTTTGAGAGCAGCCACTATCAAAAAAATTGATGGTGGGCGCTGTCTTTGCTGCGCAAACGAAGACATAGCCCAAACTGACACGAAATATGTGGAAAAAACCTGATATCCCATTTTTGCTGCGATCAGCTGTTCATTGATCATCCCCATCCGTATGCCACCCTATTTGTGCATTTTCGTGCCGTCCGCAGAATCAGGGTGAAGTTTCTCGTAAGTTACTGACGAGCAACTTACGAGATTTGTGTCTGCGTCTTCTTGCAGACACGCTATCTCCGTAAGCCAGGCCGACGGCGACGGCTTAGCTTAGGGCAGGCAGCGCAGCTCATTGCGGCAGCTGACCGGCCCCTTGGCTGTAGCTCATCGCCCATTCTTAATGCACAGTAGCAGGGGATCGTAAGATTAGCTTACGGATCTCTTCTGAAGGGGTCAGCGCAGATTATCTGAGCTGAGAGGGGGTTTACTACGGGCCTATGTCTTACACGGCTTTACAAAAATGGAGACTTTTGGAAAATTAACATGAAGAAACTGAAAAGCTAATCGAAGACGCCCAAAAATTGTTGCGTTGCACTTTGATTTCTATGTCCATTTGTCATCACTCAAGTCTTGCAAGATAGTTTTGAAACGTTTGCTGTACGGAGCCACACTTTGTCATGCATCTTTTGTAGACAATTTGAAGTAGAGATTCGTTTAAACGGTGCAATTGGGTTGCGTGCGGTATGACCAACCGTTTTGTTCTTGACTAGAGTGTCCCTTCCTGCAAAAAGTCTTGTTCAGAAGACGCCCTGCAAATTATTAGTTTTTAAGACATTTCATTTTTTTTTGTTTCATACTGACGATGATGAGAATGCGCCAATTTTCATATTCGGCAAAAAAATTCCTGCAAAAACACTTTTTTGTAAAGTGAATGTCTTTTTGTCGTTTGGAATTTCCACATTTGGAAAGTGAGAAGTCGAAGCGGGTTAGCCTAGTAGGTTTGGTGTAAACAGCATGATCAGCTTTTCTCAAAGATATGCGCACCTTGCCGCAGAACAACCGCCTTCCTGAGAAACGAGGACGAAATGAAAACGCTACAAACTTATGGAACGACCTAATAATATGGAACACTCAGTTGCATGTTTGGAGGACATGCGCATTATAAGAACGCCCGTGGCTAAATGAAAAGTTGAGGCGAAGCTTTGCACACATACGTTTTCGCCTATCACTCCGCGACCACTTTGCTTCCTCAGCATTTATTAAAGGCAGCGTCCAGGCAAGTCCTAACACATGGGGATCTCACGTAAATAGTAATTTTGGGGCCCTAACTAAGCCACTGCCCAACCGGCAGTTCAGGTAGTGTTCTAACGGCTGAGATATTCCCCTCGAAACTGGACCCCGCGATCGTATTTCGCATGGATTCATGGCGCAAAGCGTTTGTCCTGGCGCGAAACTGCCCTGAATCGATGCGAATACGATCGCGGGGTCCAATTTCGAGGGGAATATCTCAGCTGTTAGAGCACTACCTGCGCTGCCGTATGCAATGCCTTAGTTAGGGCCCCAAAATTGCTTTTCACGTAAAATCCCCATAGGTCCAGATCTGCCTGGGCGCTGCCTCTAAGTGGGTCCGAAAGTGAGTGCCGTTTTTTAGACCAATCCTCAAATCATTCAAAATAAAGATAGACAAACATCCTGAAAAGTGTTCTATGCAGAATTCCTTCCTCTTTCCAGCAGTAGTGCTTTTGTCCAATTGCTTTTGTGCTCGCTTAAAAAATCGTCAGAACCTTCAAACCATAATTTTTATATACCCTCACCTTCGCTATTTCTTCAAATTTTTCGAATTTGTTCTGGAGTTCGGGATTTAACAACAGTTAGATACTATCTAATACAATTTCTGGCATCGATAAGCTTTTCAAACTTTCTAAAATCATTATTTTGATGCTACCAAAATTGAAATATGTTTATTCCAAACCTCGTTGATCATCAGACAGCAAACAGCTAGGGTGTCATCCGCTGCAAATCCTTCTCCCCTTTTTGATAAACGTCTTTATGGCCCTAAGGAAAAACTTGTTATAACTCTAATTTTTGACCCGGCCCAGGCTGCACCCGAATATTGCGAAAATTAATATTTCGAGGCGGTAGAGTCTCATTTGTTAGTTGAAATTCGTGTTTAATCAATCATAAGTACTAGGCTGTTGCATAAGTTCTGTCCGATTTGAATTTTTGAGTTTAAAATGTCATAACTTCTTTCAGAGTCAACTTTTTTCCAAGGTCTTAGTTTCTATGTGTTGAGCAGTCCCTTGGCTAAAAAATGCATATTGAGATCTGCGCAAATCTTTGTTAAGGAAGAACCAAGAATGCAAAAACTTCGCAGCGTTTTTCTTCGAATCTGTCTTTTTTGACATGGTAACGCTCCCTTATGAAAACTGATAGGCATCTTTTCTAATAATGGATGGATAGAGAAATTTTCGTAGATTATTATGCAACATAAAAGAGCCCATAGGGTTTGCGCTGCCGAGAGATTTTCTTGACCGAACAAAAAATTAGCCACTTTTTGACCTCGCTTCAGCACATGTGTGCATGCCTATTTATGAACTACGAACGATTTACAACTGACGTGAGCGCCAAAAAGGAATTGGTGGATGGGCCGCCCTGTTAGCTCTTGCTTTGCCCTAGCACCTCCAACTTTGAGCTTGTCGATTAATTCTATTCGCAGAAAGTTATTGCTTGTAAAACATCTATACCAAAGATTTATGTTCGAGGATAAATTTCACTAGCAAGACGTTTCTTCATGGGACCGAACTTCTGCATATACTAGCATTCCATACCCTTATTCTGAAGCCAATGAAAGAACCTGACTTGAAGGGCGCATTGTGGAGATATCCTCGCAAGGACATATTTCTAGGGATAGAACGTACCTCGGCCACTTAGAGATTTTAGGCCTGTGATCTCCGTACACTAAGAATTTTATTGAATTCTGGTATGCTTTAGAAAGCGCAAGGAAAGCACTTTTCAATGATACCAACCGTATCGAATTAGAGATGAAATTCTCTTAGAACAGCTGCTTCAAACATGAGGCAAAAAAATCGGACAGAACTTATGCAACAGCCTAGTATTTATAGAAGTTCTAATTTGCAAAGATTTCTTAGTGTTTGAAGCGTTTCTATATTTTACGACTTCGCACATGTGAAGGCTTTTGAAAAACTTGTTTTTGAAAATAATGAAAAGCCAGCTGTTGATGCCAAAAAATTGGGTTTTGTTTACTTTATCCAAATGTTGTCAATTTTTTTAAAAAGACCGAAAACGAAATTTCAAAAATAGCTAAAATTAGGGTACGTTAAGTCTATGGGTTGGATATTATAGTAATTATTAGAAGGATCATTTAAGGAATTCAAACAAAAACATAACTGCTAAAAAAAGAGTGAACTTCTACATATAACAGTGCTTAGAATGTTTGTTGTTCTAAATGATTTGAAGATAAGTCAAAATTGGCACGAACTTCTGGATCCACCTAATATGAACGGTATCAGTGAAGCACATATCACAGCGACGAATAGGCGATAAATCAAGGCATCCTGCGCAGAAACTATGCTGCGGTTGCAGCCAAGGATGCCAAGAGCAAAAAGGACTACGTAGATTAGCAAACTCTGCAGGGCGAAGAATACAGTCACGGAGAGCATGTTTCTGTCAGTTATCGCTTTCCCTTCCCTGCGCTTGCAACTAAGGGTTTTGTGCACTAACATCTCTGCGGTGAGGGGAGCGGCGTTCTCTGTTATGAAGTGGCCTCGTGCGGACTTCGCTGCGATTTTTACCCTTTGACTCAACTGCATTGGCGACTGAAAGGCGAGGCTTCGTGAACTGATTGAGGCTATGATCAGAGAGCACGCGTGCGGAGAGATGCAGACTGCGTCCGTCAAGGGCGTGAGCGGCTTTGATTAGGTCACAAAGCCCCTCCTTCCAGGCGCCAAGATAGTTGAATCAAAGGTTACATCATCGTTAATGTCGCTTCCCTCGCCGCAGGAATGTTAGTGCATACGGGGTATACACCGCAACTCTAGCCGGGCCGGGGATGCTGGTTAGTAAAAGATGTGGCAGCCAAAAGTAGTTTGTCACATTTGCAAGCCTCTGATGCATACGAAGTTTCGTATTTGGATGGAGAGCGAGCATTCCCATTCAAAACCGCGCATCGAAATAGTATATGTGTATGTGTGTCATTCAAATTCGCTAGAAAACTGTGGCAACGAACAACGGCAAGAAAAGTGATTTGGAAGTAATGGATTGAATATTTTGAGCTTACGTCACTATTCTCCATATCTTGTAACGTTTTGCAGTATATTCAAGTGGCAAGCCCAGATGGCTTAAAATTTCTGGAGATTGAAAACATGTTCGAAAGAATTTCGCTGGAGTATGAATACGGCTCATTAAATAACGCTACCGTCTCTGGGAAAGATGCGAAGAGGAGGGAACGAATAATGTACGCTTTCAATGCTGGCTACGATGCTCGACACAATAAATTTCGTAAGTTTTCGTGATTGTTCGAAGACGTACAATACCGCTCACATTTTTTGAAAAATAGACGCGAATGTACATACATGTTGCTACATGTATGGACATCAACTGCTGCGTGGCCATATCTCGCCTCAGAGTGGACGAATTCTGAATCTAAAGCCACCTTCGATCCAGCTCGGCGCGGAGAATCTTTTGATATATCGGAAGTGGGGGTACGATGTCTTCGATAATCCGTTTCCAGCTTTTTCAAATTCTTTTGCGGAGGTCCTTTCGCGAATATGTGAAGCAGCGCCTAACATAGAAGACTTTACTAAGTACTATTCGATAATGCTGTTCTTGTAGATTATTGCGCTAGAAAATAGCTCAGACTTTATTCCAAAGGAGACAGAAGCGTTGGTGAATTCTAAAAAAACCACGTACTTTAGTACTTTTTCTGTAGATGGTGGTGTGCTAAATAGTAGGCGTAGATTTCTTTTCGAAGGAAATAGAACGGCTGGTGTATTTTGGAAAAATCTTGTCGTCCCAAATTCTACTCGCAATAGCCCCAAGATACGAAGCTATCTTGCTAAGCAGATGTGAGTTTCGAAATCAGCAGGTCGGATAACTTCTACGAGCAAGTTTTCCATTATGTTCGGGTTATTTCATTTTTTCTCGTTTTACGCTCTAGGAGCTCGCCGATGGATTTTGGTCAAAATGTTGATGCTCTTGAATTGTAAGATAACCGCTTATAAAGGTTTTCGAACAGGCTTTTCACGAAAATCGTGGCCTTTGATTGCTTGCTTTTCTAACTCAAATTACAAGGAACTTCTGCTATCAAATGGTGCATGACTCAGGCTCCAGTCTGTGAAATCCGCAGAGTTACGAGCCTACGGGAAATGCTCATGAATCTTGCCCAAAATGTAACGATCGCATATTTCGTCGAAATTCCTCCGTGAGCGCTTGTACAACACGCCGATCAAATTTTTTCACGTTTTTAATGTATCTTATTGTGTTAGATTTGGTGCTTTGAGCTCTAGCTACGAAATAGCTTTGATATTCAACTGCTGAAGCACACGCAAGCACCATATTCAATACAGTGAAAGTCTTTGGGCAAAGCGAACATAATATCCGCAACGAGCGTCATACAAGCGCTCACGGTGGAATTTCGACGAAATTTGCGATCTTTACATTTTAAGCAAAATTTATGAGGACGTGTTTTCGTAGGCTCGTAACTCGGCGAATTTTACAGGCTGCGCCTGAGTCATGCACCTTCGATAGCACAATTCTCAGTAGCTTTGACTCAGAAAAGGAAGCAGGCAAATTTTCTGACAGGTACGCGAGAAATGCAGGCGAATTTACGAGCTTTCGTGATTTAGTTACAGTTACCTCACCGTATCTCTCCAAAAAGACCCTGTAATCCTCAAAGGCCACGATTTTCGTAAAGAGCGTGTTCGGAAACCTCTATAAGCGAGGTTTCCTTACAATTAAAGAGCATCATCATTTTGACCAAAATCCATGGCGAGCTTCCAGAGCCTAAAACGGGAAAAAATGAAATAACCCGAACATCTCGGAAAACTTGCTTATAGAGGTTATCCAACCTGCTGATTTCGAAAATCACATCTGCTTAGCAAGATAGCTTCGTATCCTGGGGCTATTGCGAGTAGAATTTGGGACGACAAGGTTTTTCCACAATTCACCAGCCGTGCTATTTCCTTTAACAAGAAGTCTGCGGCTACTATTTAGCACATCATGATCTACAGAAGAAGTACTATCAAAAGATTCTTGTTGGAATTTACTCGGGACTATGCTCGCTGCTTTAGGCCTCGGACAGAGTTCACGCGATTTGATCATCGCGATTAAGTCGCCGCGTTTTCATTCATTTTCATTTTACATTCAAAAATTTCGAGCTGGAAAAGTATCACAACCGAATTGCAGGCTGATCGGCATGCAATGAACTCGTAACAGTTGTCTTGTTGCGATTGAATCGCGACGATCAAATCGCGTGAATTCTGTCCAAGGCCTTACACCTTCGCGAAAAGACGTCCGCAGAGAGATTTAAGAATAGAAATTGAAATATCAAGGACATGCTGTATATAAAAAGATTCGCCTTGATGAGCTGAGCAAGGCGCTACTTTCTTCAAAATATACTTATTCCAAAAATAGTTATGACGAGTAGAATTCAAAAACGCTTGTTTTTTCAAAGATTTCACCAACGCTTCTATCTCCTTTGGAAAGAAGTCTGAGCCTATTTTCTAGCGCACAATAATCTACTAGAACAGCATTATCGAATAGTACTTAGTATAGTCTTCCAGGTTTGTTTCATACTGCAGTCGCTGCAGCAACTGTTGTATGAAACATGTATGTTGGATAGGCGCTGCTTTTCATATTCGCGAAAGAACCTCCGCAGAAGAATTTGAAAAAAAAACTGAAAACGGAATATCGAAGACATCGTATTCCCACTTCCGATATATCAGAAGATTCTCCGCGCCGAGTCAAATTGAATGGTGGCTTTGGATTCAGAATTCGTCCATTCTGAAGCGGAATATGGCCACGCGCCGGTGATGCCATACATGTAGCGACATGTGCATCACTCATGCGACGTCGATGTCGCTACATGTATGGACATGCTAAATGCTACATGCTTAAACTCAAATTTCGTTATTTGTCAAATTCACTATGATCCAAATTACTATAAGGATTAGAGGTGTTTACGTGTTTGTCTGTATGTCTGTCTACCTAGAACAGAGGTTTCAAGCCACAATTTTTGTCTCAATGCACTGCCAGCATCTCCGTTTACAAGAAAAGCAAGAGGGGAGTTGACGAGTGGACTCCTCAGAAATTTCGAGCCAAACGGATCCACCTGTTGTTCAGTGGCGGTCCCAGGATTTTGGGCCGGGGAGGAGGGAGGGGGGGGGGAGGGGGGGCGGCAAAAATTTTTTTTCAAATGAAGGTGCGTGACGTTAGCCACGCACTCCGAAACAATTTTTGAGGTGCTTCCCAAAATTTTTGCGGGTTTCCAATCCCTAAAATCTGGAAAAAGGGGCATGGCTAATTAGAATTTCTAAAAAATTTTAAAATTCATTTTAGTTATCTACGAAAACGAACAAGTCACTTGCATATTTTTATGACCCATGCAAGTAAATTTCAAAAATTTCGCGATCCATTCTCCCCCCCCCGCCCCTCTCTCGGTTCGCCACTGCTGTTTTTGGCCTGCATGAACTTGAACTTTTTGCACAGTTGCGAATTGTTAAAAATATAATATACTTAATATACTGAATCACGGTGAATTTTAGCAATATAGATATTGGAAGTGGGTTGCAAAAGAGTAGCAAGCAAAAGGAATCGAACTTGCAAACAAAAAGGCACCTCATCCTATGAGGACGCTCACTTACTTACCTGCGCTACAAGTGCACATTCAAGTGGGTGATGAGTACTTATGATGCGCTGCGACCCTACGGCGGAATCGAGGACCATAACTTCATGTAGGAGATCGATAAGCAGCTAATGAAGGCGGATATGTACCCTGCCCTCCATGTGGTGTTCAACGGTATGCAGCTTGTTGGGATTGGCCACTTCGAATTTTGACCATTCTCTTGTAAGTAGTCGTGAATCATGGAGATTCGCCTTGTAAAGAGTGACCGCTCTAACTGATGATTGCTTACTCTGCAAAATCAACAAAACGAAAACAGAAGTAGGGCAGTGGTGGGAATTGAAATAGCATTAGCATCACCAATTTCATGGTCTTTGATCAAAGATTTCATTCTTGAACTCTGATCAATGCCTTCGCTATATGCAATCCATAAATTTTTGCCTCAATGTTTAGTGGTCACTCGAGCTTGTTGGAAAAATTTCGAAACGACCTGATACAAGCCGCTGGTTTATATGTAATTGACGTTGAGGAGCATTCAAAAACAAAAGTGAAATTAACATTTCAGAAATTGGGACAACCTTGCTACAGTTTCCCGCATTTTCTTATAGTCTTCCCAAGTAAGTGTACGTTTCAGATTCTATATAGGCGTGTTGTGTGAAAGAGGCGTATAAATTGCAACGCTTATCTTATATATAAAGCTGAATGTCTGTTTGTCTGTCTGTGTGTACGTATGTTCCAAATAGAAAATTCCATTTCTTAACCGATCCGGACCAGACTTGGCACACATACACTTCGGGCCCCGGCGGGTGTCACAGTCCACTCTGTTTGTCTGTCTGTATGTCTGTACGTATGTTCCGAATAGAAAACTTCATTTCTAAACCGATCCGGACCAAACTTGGCACACACACACTTCGGGCCCCGGCGGGTGTCATAGGCTACTTTTCGCCATCGATCGATATAGATTTTACCGATTTTTATCGATTTTTTGCAGAGTTCACCTACGGGGCTCGGAGCTGGCACAGGGAAGTAATCGAGCGTGGGAATTTCGAATACAATATTAGTTTTCAGAAATATCAACTACTTTTACCGATTTTATCGATTTTGCAAAGTTTGACCTGTGGGGCTGAGAGTTGGCACAGTGTGGTAATCGAGCATGGGGATTCCGATTACAATATTAGTTTTGCGCTATTCGGTTATCCGGTTTCCAAAATTTTTTTGTCGTAGATGCTCAAACTTCGTGTATAAGGGTTATCTACATGCTGAATACAAATATCACATTTTCTCCGCAGTACATCTCCCCGTGTGGTTACGATAGGTGTACGGCAGGAAGTCAAAATCATGCATTCGGCTGTTTGGTTCAGAGAACTTATTCGACATGCTGATTACGAATTTCATACTCTCTCTGAATATTGACATTTTCATAGAGTTATGGTGGTTATACGGTATGGAATCGAACATAGATTTGCTTCAAACTTCGTTTAGAATAGTCATTTAGCGCGCTGAACATGAATATCATGCTGATTTCGCAGGATAGCGCATTTTCTTGGGTTACGGTAGGTGTGCAGTAAATGGATCGAAGTTCCGGATTTGCTCAAAACCTTACCTTTAACGGTTCACAAGCATACTGCTTATAAATATGATGCTTGCTCGCTGTCATAACGCGTTATTGTAAAGTTATTGTGAGTTACACGGTTTGAATGGACATTTTTTTCGCTTTTGGGCCAATAGATCCCAGATATTCACAAATGGGGAAACGGCCGTTTTGCATGGCGGTCTCCAGCGCTCCTGATAACCTGTCCCAACGCGTAACGCACGCGGCAAATCTCCCTCCCCCTGTTTTTGCTTAAGCAAAAGCCGCCGAATGTTATATCGCGCGCGGCGGTGGTCCTATAAGGAAAGCATTACGGTCGTGGGAAACTTTTATTTATTTATTTATTTGTTTATTTATTTTGTACGCTCGTAGGCGTGCTGCATGTTGAATAGGAAAAAGGCAATTACAAGACAAACATCAATCACAGAGAATACAAAGAAGTTTGAATAGTTTAAGTACACAGAAATAGATGAATGCTAGAAAGGGACTTTAGAAGACATATTTCCGAGTAAAGATCTCGTTAAGAATTTCTGCAGTAACAATCCATCCTAGTCCGCCAACGGAAATGACCATAACAAGGCAGCGCGAGCACCCCGAGGGCTCGACAAACGGTTGCACCGGCAGCCCCCGCCAGCATAACCAAACGGGTGCACTGGCAAGGGGCCGCCAGTACACCCGCTTGTCAAACCCTCAGAACGCACCACCCAGCCATGACCCCCGCCGATGAAGAAGAGCAGATTGATGAGTCGGGTAAGGAAATTCAACAGAACTAATCGTTACTCGGATATGCCTTTTAGAGCCCAGTAGTTCAAATGGAATGAAAAGCACCTGAGTGAATTTGAATTGAAAAGGTAACATGGAAAGACAACTTAATTGTTACACTTAATCAATCTATTTGAAACAAAAGAGGAAGCAAACATGGGTAGGAGTGATGCACCTACCCATGTTTATACCACACGACTTGCCATTATCGTGGGGATTAAGCATTGAAACAGATATTCTTGAAACAGCACTTTAGGTAATTCCCTGCCAAAGTTTCAGGCAGGTTCATGATTTTTACCCGCTGGCAAGCAAAATGACTACGATATTTGCCATCAGTGGCTCCTCAGATAACCCCCATTACCGAGTTTGAGCAAGACACACCACAAAAACATTTTGGGGCCCGTATAATAGCGCCGTCAGTTTTTAGAATTACCCTTACTTTTATTGATATTTTTGATTTTTTGCAAAGCTTGAGCTACGGAGCTGGGGGTGAGGAAGGTAGGTGAGCATGCTGATTACTAACACAGCGAGAATAGGGAATTGCATGTAGAAGTGGGCACAGGGAAAGATTGTACAGGGAAGGGAATGAAACTTTATCAAAGTTTTGACAGGGCCGGGCGGAGCCGGGTAAGCCAGCTAGTTATTTTGTGAACTTCAATAGAATAATTTCACCGAACTGACCCAACATAATAACACTTGCTTTTTATTGTTGCTACAAAAAAACCTAGTATCAGAGCAGGACAGACTGAATGTGGTTCGGAAGCTTAAGATGGGACGCAAGATATAAAACCGTTCACAATACTAGCAAAACTTTTGTATTTTCGAAAGTTCCCAAAATTCCGCAAAGTTGTCTTACAAATTTGAGAACTCGGAGCAAGGTCAAGCGTGTGATGCGACTGTCGCAAGGGGGGATCGTAAAAAGGGCACCGGCGGTGGGGGGGGGGGGGGGGGGGGGAGGAGGGAGGTTCGTAAGAGAGGGTGATGCGAATTCAAAAAAAGTGTGAAATGTAGGAAATAAGCTTCTTAGTCGCAAACATTCCCTATTCTTCAAAAAACCTCATTTTTCTTCGTGCAAAAAAGGTGTCGCAGACGGGGATCGAACTTGCTGGCCACAAATATGACCGAAGATTTCAAAGACAATTTTCAGAAGCTAACATTAGGCATGCATGAGTGACAAGAATGTTAAATGTACCAATTGGCCTAGAAATCCTGGTTCCGAAGCATCACTGAATTCTCACGCTCTCGACAAAAGCGCTCATCTCTACCAGCGATGGCCATCAATTTTTGAAACTTTTTTGTTATGTTTTTCAAAGGCCCATACAATTTACCTGTACTTTGAAGATGCTCTGCTACAGTTGTGCAAAATTTGGTTATACAAGGTGTCCCAAAAAGATGTGCACACTGTTTGATTGTTATTAACTCTCTTGCTTTCATGTCTTTTGCCGAGCTTGAGGTGTCATTCTTTAGAGCGAAGCTCAACTTAGATTTACAGTATAAAGCGAATTATCAGCCGCTCTTTAGTGTAGGATTACGGTAGGAATTTCTAGGAGGATTTCAAGCCATTGAAGGTGGTATTTTGCCTCAGAAAGAAAGTCAATCAAGCCAGAAACTCTTGAACTGGGTTAATCGAAGTCGATGATTCTAAGTATGAAAATTGCTATTCAGTATAGTGCTTGTTTCATGAGTTATTTTATATTTAGGATAACAACCGTTCTTCTTGTGTTCGTCAAAAATGTGATTGCGCCATCAAGATAGCTCGAAAAACTGGTGGAAAGTATGTAGTGAAATCAGCACGCCTGAAAACCTTGCTACACAATTTTTTTATGAAATTATTTCACTAAATGGCTTATTCCACAGAGATGCTGTATGCTGAAAGTTCATGCCGTGCTCCTACAGTAATGAGGAGTGATTGGTGATTCGCTCCATACTGCAAATCTAAGTTTGTCCTCGCTCTAAAAATAATACTCAAGCTTGGCAAAACGCGTAAAAGCAAGAGAGTTATTAACGATCAAACAGTGTGCACATCTTTTTGACACTCTGTATTTCAAAGCCTGTGGATTCAAAATCTATATACATACATATATATATATATATATAACTCAAACTTTCTAAGTGTGTCTGTTTGTTCGTTCATTACAGAAACGCCCGCCATTGAACTGATCCAGCTGAAACTTGCCACGCATATGTACTCGACCCCGGAGCTGATTTAGCGCTACTTTTTGCGGCGATTCGCTGGGCCATTCTATTGATTTATTGATTCTTGGCATAAGAATGAGCTCTCAACATGAGCTAACAAGCCAATTCCATGATTTTGTGTAAACAATAGCAGTAAAGTTCATTCGATTCTCGCGGTAGGAAGGACGCGGTGATCCAAGACAAGGCTACAGCAGGTGAGTCACTTTGATACAGGATCCCCCCCCCCCCTCCCCTTGCAGTGCGACATAATGGCTGGGTAGTAAGGGTAGGTGGGGGTAGGGGGAAAGGATCAGCTGACGTGACCCGGGCTAGACCGTTTCATTACTTCTCCGGTGAGTTACAAAATTTCAAGCCTAAAATAATCCCAGTTTTTGCTTTTCAGGATCGCATCTAAATTTGCGATAGATTTTATATCTAAATTTTATATCTAGATATATAGATATCTAGATTTTTTTATCTAGATTTTCTCGAGCTCACTCTTCCTCAATGGCTAAAACTATTTCCATGGGTAGTGTGGGCAGAATACTACAGAGCCTATTCATTGAAGCCTCTCAGTCTTTCGCTGACCTTTGTTACGAATTTTCAAATTATAGTGCTCATGCACGTTTTTAGCATCGTTCTGGAAGCCGCTAAAATAGTTTTTTTTGCAGGAAAATCCATATAATGAATACAAAGTAAGTTTTTTAGTCGAAAACAATTTTCACGCTTCAAAGATATCGTTTTTTCTGCAAAAAAATATTGTCGCTTACGAGGATAGAACACAGGACTGTCATTAACACGTTTCGGACTGCGAAATCGCGCGCGACGAAGAAGAGTGCACTTTCAGCCATTGGCCAATAAAGGGACCTTACTTCATAAACTGTGTGCACATCTGTAATCAGCTTGTCAGATAAGTTCCATACCCAAGGTTCTGAGTGGATTCGATGTGTTTAAATTTTGTCGCTTGTGAAGGATTCCTGTGCTTTTCTGGAAGATAGGAACAAGAACTCAGCTTCTATTAGTATCCAAAAATATCTATGCTGTAGGTGGTACACATCTGTATTGAAACTATGGATTTTCTCTTTGGAATTCAAGAGATGAGATGACGCACGCGTCGTTCGCGTTGCCGCAATTCAATTCGTTGCAACTGTTGTTCGATTTCTGCTCATATCTCCTAAACAAACATCGGCGGCACAACTCTACAGAGTTCTTTGAAAAATAGAAACTTAGGCCTTTAACATGATAACCTTGGACTAAAAGAAAACCTTCAGTAAATGTCAGGAAGATCCTTCAGAGCAGCATGCTGCACCATGTGCAGCACCGGTCCGAAATGTGTTAAAGTCTAAAACGTGCTAATTTCCAGAACCATAGTTTATATCTTTCGGTGCTGTTGGACCATAAAAGAATTATGCCGAACATTCATAAACTGCAGAAAAGTTTCTTAACCTTCACTAAGAAAGCAGTTTCTGTGAAATAGTCAATTTAATCACTGGAACCGCTCCGTTATACTGAATCTTGGTTATTATTTTATTTCATTTTTTATAAGTAGAGTACAGCTCAAATACCATTCAAATTAAAATCGATGTTGATTTGGCAGATAATGTCCTTTCCATTCATATTTTTCCACAATAAACATAGCCAATTTGTAAAATTTTACTACTTATTCAATTTACGTGAAATTATTTGTTTTTTGAGTGGTGAAGCATTACTTACATTATTTCCCAATTTGTAAGTAGTTATCTTTTTCTGACCTATAATTTTGATTGTGATCCATTGGCAGGCATCTTTTGAGATTGACATTCGTTTATGCAGGTTACTGCAAAAGGAAGTGGAGGCGGGGGAAGGGGGGGGGGTTGTACATGAAAATCCCGGGTCGCATCAGCACGCTTGACCCTGTCTGGGAGTCTGCAGTTTTAGAATAACGCCATAATTTCCACCAGAATGAATAGATTTCAAATTTGAAAGAAGCATCGTGTTCAGCTCATTGAGCAAATATTTTAGTATATCGCATTGCAATAACTTAGCGTACGGTACGTGTACGCTAGGAGGTGAATTCGTCTGCGAATTGCCTGAAATGGAAGAGAGGTAGGCACTCAATCCTGATTTCGGTATTAAAAAGTGATCGAGAACTACTCGATAAGTAAAAGTCGGTGTTGATGGAGTTGAGATATAACAAAGATACGTTGGCAGAGCAAAAAAGCGAGTAATTTGCAAGAACTTTAGGCAGTGAAAGACATAGGACAAAGTGTAGGTCTTCCATAACGAACACTCGGAAGCAGAACATTGCAACTACTAACCTGGCCTTACCACTGCCTTTGAAATAAGCCTCTTTTCAAAAAAAAAAAGAGACAGAAACTCATATGAACAATTTCTATTTATTTCGTAAGAGGCCCATACTTGTATCGAGCGCTATACTCCTGCAAGCTTCATTGCGTTAGTAACCCCGTTTACATATCGCGCAAAGTTTTCGCTATTTTCGCGACATCCCGCAGCATTCCTTCAGATAATTGCCTGGGGCAGACGGTCCGCAAACTCGCCTTTTCTGCAAGCGGTCAGCAAAATTTTGCGGCGTGGCCAAACCTTCAGCGAGCGGTACTTACGTGTTTTGCCGGCAGACAGCAATACAACATTTTCTACAAGCCTCGTCAAACAATCTCTTTCAGCGAGCGCGAGCCAAACTTTCAGCAGGCGCTCGAACTCTTTTTACGCAGTTTCGGGAGTACGCCGAGTAAAGGTGAGATGGCAGAGGTGTCGTCGATGGTTTGATTACCCGAGTTTGGGGTACCTTCTTTCAGCGGAAGGGACCTTGGGCAGTGAGGTCTTTCACAAAGGACCGTGCGGCCCCCAAAATTTTGCATATTCTCGCGGGAAGTCCGCGAGAATGCGGCCACTGGGCCGCAACTTATTCATAGAAAAACCGCGAAAGTTCTCCGAACTTCGTCTAAAAATTGGCCAAAATTATTCCAAGTTTTGTAGCTGACCGCAAGAAATCAGCGATATTTTTCCGGTGCCCGCTTGCTAAAAATTCGCCTGCTCCGGCGATTATCTGAGAAGGTAACACTCTGCAAACAGAGGTGTCATCGATGGTTCAATCACCCGAGTTGGGGATACTTCCTCTCAGCGAAAGGTACCTACGGGTTGTGCGGTCCTTTACAAAAGACCGCGCCGCTCCCAATCTTGCCTGTTCTCGCGGAAAGTCCGCGAGAATGCGGCCACTGCGCCGCAACTAATCTATGAAAAAGCCACAGTTGTTCTCCGAGCCAAAATCTCGCAGAAATTCTTTCAAATTCTGCAAGCGGACCGCAAGAAATCAGCAAACTATTTTTCCGGTGCCCGCCTGCCCGTAATTAGCGCGGCCGCCTGTCTCCGGCAAGTATCTGAGCTGCTGATTCCGCTAAATTGCGCGAACGCCCGAGATGCAACCCCATAACTTCCTTCAGATGGCACGGTATCCGAAAAGGAAAAAGCATTGTGCTCAACTCATTAAGGGAAGCAGACATAGTGCACTATCTTAACATCTCTTTTCCACAAGAAGAGGCCGACAAATTTCGGACATATGCGAAACCCACATGACGTCTTTGTAGCGCAACTCTACAATAACGTACAACAACATCATGATTTAGCGATTTTGACGTACGTGAGGTTATGGAGTAGAGCTTTCGAGCTTTAGTAACTTCCAACAAATGTTTGTTATATTTCACATATCTTCAGTTTCTACAACTACGGCTACATTGGAGGTGCCATTATGGGTCACGAGATGATGCACGCATACGATATCCAATGTAAGACACGCTTTGCTTTTAAATAAATGTCATATTGCTCCAAAATCGACTATTTTTGTTCATTCTATTCACCTCAACGTTGTGCATGCTAATCAATTCATTTATTGTATGCATGGTATATCCTCCAAAATTGTTCCCTTGAGTACCATCAAGGTGGCTGCTTTCGATCGTTGTAACATGTTGACTCCAGCAAATTTAAGGAGCTTATTCGAGGTTGATTAAAATGATCGGAAAACAGCCACGTTGATAGCACAATTTGTTTGACGAGGCCAGCGCCGCGTAGTGCAGTCACAGACCTTCGGGCGAGCGCTACCGCCTGCGCAGAATGATCGCGGGCCTTGTTTTTGTAATCGTATTTCGTCATTCTCCGTTTCTATAGCAGCGCACTGTCATTTTTTTCGTATCTATGCTCATATACGATTTCTCTTCTTCCGGAAACGATTTTGCTATTTTGTGTGCTTGTGAGTGTTTTACATCACAATGGCATTTTCATCTATCCAGGCCCCAGACACCAGAAACTCTGATGATTCCACCCTCGAGGCTCATGTTTAGGGCAGAGAGGGATAAATAAAGAGAAAACTCAAAGTGTGAGAAAATTGAGCATACCATCTCAAGGCGGAGAAGCGTAGCAGCGGCTTTGATATGTGTAACGGAGGGATGCCCTAAAACATTTGATGGCATGTAATGGGCTTATTAGAATAATGCGAAAGCTTACACAAAAAAATCTGCCTGCAGCTTCGGCAAGGAGAAAGAGCAGCAGTCATTTTTACGGTTCTTAGGTGAGTTGGTTTGAAATTCATTTTCTTGAAGACTTCTAACCTTCATTATTCTTCCAATCGCGCAGTCATACTTAAGTGATGTTAGGAAATCCTAGAATAGAATTTCAAACAGGAAAAGCTCATAATTTCAGAAGCAGGACAGAAAATAAGCTAAAAAGAAGCAGGAAGGGTAACTAAAACAAGGACTACGCCGCTTTGCGCGGCATGGCCCTTGCACACTGTAACATACGATAGCGCTCGCGCGCAAGTGTGTGACTGCATTACGCGGCGTTGGCCTCTCAAACGCATTGTACCTATAAGAACAGTTTCTGGGGAATGCACGTTAGCTCAATGTTTGCTTCTGTGTTGTGAAAGTATAGCCTTCAAAACTTACATCAGATATACATGAACGCTATACCATAACATATATGAGTGCTTATCTCTTTGGGTTGAGCCAGAGTCGAGCGTCGGCGTACGCGATGTACACAGAGTACGCACGCGTGCATAAAGACATGGGGCGTGCGCCGCGTAACCTGAACCCATTCTTATAAAACATCATAACTCTAAAAATTGGAGGAGAAGCATAGACATTTGCTGAACTGTAAATCATGACTACAGTCTGCAAAGCGCGTTGAATCGTGACGAAAAATTCGTGACATTTCAAAATGTTTGCTCTTTCTCCCTCACGAAATCTCTTTCTGATGCTTGAAATGAAAGCTAAAGTTGAAAAAGATTACGGTATATTTAGGAGATGCGCACACTTGTTTGTATACGTAATTTCATATCAGTAGATTGCTTTTTTCGCACACCTTTACAACTTTCTCCAATATTCTACTGACAAGATTATGAAATTCTTTTAAACCACTCGGGGTTACATCTTGTTACACTACTGCTAGCGTGAGAATACGTTATAACTACTTTTGAAAGTATAAGCAGAAGTGGGTACTGTTTCGTTATGCAGATGTCTTCTTGTGCCATATGTAGCATTTTCATCAAAACTATCAGCCTCATATAACATTTAACAAATCTAGGAATATGTTGCTACCTAGGTGAATACATTTTGTTTTTTGATCAATAGTGACCCATTTTCACCTCGACAAATTTGAAAGAAGCTTAACTTTATAATAATGCCATCCATTTGGATGAACATATTAGTTCCTCTTAGATAAGAGAAGTGCACTAAGATCTCGGCTAAGCGGGAAAGAAAAAAGCGGCAGTGAGTACTTTGAGTCATTACCTGCAGTTCTGGCTATTCGTATAAAGGAAACAGTTCGAAAAAAATATCTATGAATCTTTACTGAAAGCAACCAAGACTTTTTATTAGTTTTTTGGGCTGTTTTACTAATGTGAAAAAAAACAGGAGATCTTGTAAATCATCTCGAATGCTCTCGTACCTCACCGGAAATGATTTTGAAAAAACTTGTGAACCCAAACGGATTAATTTCGCCTTTCACGTAGTAGGTGAACAATCTTCACAGAACTTTTGCAAGTTTTTTTTCGAAAGCACCTGCCTGATGAAGATGCTTCAAAGACATGGGTCCGAGTATTGCAAGAGTTTGACTTTCAAAAAAAGCAGGACAAGCTTAACTCGAAAATATAAAACTCATGTCTCATGTTCTAAGTTTGAGGAAATAAATTAGCCAAGGTATTGTGAGTTATCGTCACAAGAAAATTTGACGCTCTCTATCAAAAGAGAGTTAATAAAACAAGAAGTAACGGAAATGTCATCAATACTTACAGCTATCAATCGTAACGAGAATGGTGTTCCATCTCCTCTCTGGCTACCTGATGACTTCCGCAAGTCCCACGATTTGAAAATGAATTTGCTCCAAAACATGTATCAAAAGCATTTCGAAGTGAGATTTCTATTTTGCCTCCTAAATTGTATTATATAAATGTACATTTATTTATTGTTTTTTGCATTTACTTTGTTTTGCAGATATTGGGCTACGATCATCTTATGAAATCAACAAAACAAGAAAATTTTGCCGATACTCAAGGGTTAATACTTGCTTACAGGGCAAGTTTTGCTTTCCTCTTAACGTTCAAGTTCTGTTTTTTCCGAACTTATAAATAACTTTGAGATGTATCACAGCCATATGCAAATTATTTGAGGTCGTGTATGTTTTTGATTGCATACATGCATTGACATATCGCATTTGACACGTTTGCTTAGTGAAAAGTGCAAAAGTAGCAATTCCATACTGGATTGTTCGAAGGATCTATTTTGAGGTCTAATTCTCGGTTTCAAGGATCTACTTCTGCTAATTCTAAGAACTAGCTGTGGCTTCGGTCTCATCCGAGACCTCAAGTTTGTTAACTTAAAGCGTGTGAACTTACGCTTTTAGATTTTTTCTAACATGCGTATAAAGCTATTGCCCCCACTTCCCGACTTCGAGACTGAAATAGACATTACCCCTGCTTACATGCTTATATGGAAAGTGATCGATTGGCATAATAAGCTTTCATTTTTTTTAGGTTTAAGTAAACAAATCGATAAATCGACAGAAGTGTCCGGTGAATCGCAGCGAAAAGTAGCCCTAAACCACTGCCGGAATTGAAAAGATACGTGTGCGAAGTTTCAGCTCAATTGGTTCAACGACTGGGTTTCTATAACGAACGAACGACCTGACGAACATCCTCACATGCATTGAGTTAAGGAGTTGAGTTGGGGATATTTTGCAAACTAAAGCTGTTTTTGTATCTCTTCAGCTTCCTTTTGCAATTTTCCTCAATAATCTAGTACTTTTGGGCTTCAAGAAAATTGCATATCGCATGATTACACAAAACATTATAGAATTTTCGGAATATTGAAGTTTCAGAATAAGATTATTATTTCCACCATTTTAACAAAGTAATGAGCGAGTCAGCTAATAAATAGGAAGGTAGATTTTGAAACATCTCAGATAACCGCCGGGGGCAGGCGGCCATGCGAATTTTGAGCAAGCGCGCACCGGAAAAATAGTTCGTTGATTTTTTGCGGCCCGCTTGCAGAAATTTGGAAGAAAATTGGCGAAATTAAAGACGAATGCTTGAAGAACAGTCGCGGTTTCTTTATGGATTAGCTGCGGCGCAGTGGCCGCATTCTCGCGGACTTTCCGCGAGAATATGCAAAAATTTCGAGGGCCGCACGATCCTTTGTGGAGGACCGCGCAACCCCCAGGTACTTTCCGCTAAGAGAAAGTACCTCAAACTTGAGTAATTAAACCAACGGTGACACCTCTACCACACAGAGTCTTACCTGCGCTCGACGTACGCCCGAAAATACCTAAAAAGAGTCCGAGCGCTTGCTGAAAGTTTGGCCAGCGCTCGCTGAAAGATATTATTTGACGAGCGCTCGCAGAAAATTCTGTATTGCTGCCCGCTGGCAGAACGCGGAAGTACCGCCCGCTGAAGGTTTGGCCACGCCCCAAAATTCTGCTGACCGCCTGCAGAAAAGCGCGAGTTTGCGGACCGCCTGCCCCCGGCGATTATCTGAGATTGAGTACATCAGTAAACTACAGTTATGACGAACGGAAATTTTCAACGAATGAACAAATATAGAATACTTCCTTTTCGAAAATTTTTTGGACTTATGTCGAATAATTGATTATTAAAAAATCTTCGAGCGAACGAACATTATTCAGTTGTCAATTTTTATATTGATCAAATTCGATTATTCGAATATGGGCACATTCCAAAACCCGAACTTTCGAATATTTGAATAACCAAACTTGTTCGAATATTCGCTATTCGAATAAATGATCAACTGGTTATCATCGAATATTCAAACGCAATAGTCGAATATTGAATTTTCGAACAGCAGTCAACAAAACTTCTCGAATATTCAAATATTTGAATAACTATCTTTTGAAATTCCTCGAATATTCGAGTAATCGAATAAGCTATTTAGTCGAACGAACAAATTATTTGAATAAAGACCTTTTTCATTTATTTGACTATTCAACTAATCGAATAATTGGAACTCAAATATTTAACTATTTAAATATCCGATTAGCCGAATATTTCGGATAAGTCATTCGAATACGATTATTCGAACAACTGTATAGAATAACTAAACAATTAACTAATTCAATGCAAAAATATTTTTAAAATAATAAAAATATAAATAGATTATCTTCTGCGATGTTTTGCAACACAAATTTGTTATAAGTATTACAATACCGCTCATAATTCGTCAAAAAAGTCGCCGGATTGTGGCGAACTCCGCCGGAGTGCGGCAGAGTGCGCCACACTCCACTAGAGTCCGCCGGAGTGCGGCGGAGTGCGCCACACTCCACTAGAATTTGTCGGAATCCGCGTCGCATCGCCATATCTTGCTTCAGGATGGACGAATTCTGAATCCGCGAACACTATTCGATTCAGCTCGGCGAGATGCATCATCTAGTATATGGGAGTGCCACGATCTAGCAGGATATGATAGGTATACGCTAGACAGTAAAAATCCTCACAGTTTTGCAGTTTTTTGTTTGGTTGGATTGTTCAATCGGCTGACAACAGTATTAGCATTGATTTGTCGCTGATGACACATAGAAAGTATACCGGGAGTGTGGTAGAGAGTCACATCAATCGAATTAATTCTAAAATCTGCTCAAGATCACAATACCGCTCACAGAATATGCAAAACCTCCGTGAACTTCGTGGAATTCCGGGATTTAAGCTCAAGTCCGCGACATTCTGGGAATCCCATGACACTCCATGAATCTACGAAATAACGGATTTCTGCAAAATACGCAGCACTAACTTCCTTCGGAATGAATATATTCTGAATCAGGAAATAGCATTGTGTTCAGATCATCAAGGCGAATCTTTTGATGTACTGCAGGCCCTCGATATTCCGTTTTCCAGTTTTCTCGAATTTTTCTGTGGAGGTCCTTTGGCAAGAATATAACGCAGCGTCTGTGTATTAAAAAGATTTCAGTAAGCAATATTCGATAGCATTGCTCTTGTAGGTTATCGTGCGCTAAGTAGTAGCCGCAGACTTCTTCCCAAAAAAGGTAGAAGCGCCGGTGAATTCTGGAAAAATCACAAGTTTTAGCTTCTACTTGCCATGACTTCCTTCGGATTGGGTACATTTTGAATCCGAAGACAGTACTGTGCTCAGCTCATCAAGGCGATTCTTTCGATATACAGCATGTCTTTGATATCTCGATTTCAATATTCTTGAATCTTTCTGCGTACGTCTCTTCGCGAAGGTGTAAAGCAGCGAGCATTGTCCCGAGTAAATTCCGGCAAGGACCTTTCGATAGTACTTATTCTGTAGATTATGATGCACTGAACAATAGCTGCAGATTTCTTTTCAAAGGAAATAGAAGGGTGAATTGTGGAAAATTCTTGTCGTCTTAAATTCTACTCGCCATAGCTCTAGATTACGAAGCTCTTTTGCTAAGCAGATGTGATTATCGTAATCAGCAGATCGGATGACCTCTATGAGCAAGTTTTCCGAGATGTTCGGGTTATTTCATTTTTCCCGTTTTAGGCTCTGGAAGCTCGCCGATGGATTGTGGTCAAAATGTTGATACTTCTGAAATGTAAAAAAACTCCGCTCATAGAGGTTTTCGAACACGCTCATTACGAAAATCGTGGTCTCTGAGGATTACAAGTTCATTTGGAGAGACACAGTGAGGTAACTGTAACTAAATCACGAAAGCTCGTAAATTCGCCTGCACCTTTCGCGTACCTGTCAGAAAACCTGCTTGACTGCTTATAAAGGTTAAAGTAATTAGGGAGTGTGCCATCGAACGGTGCATGTCTCAAGCTCAGTCTGTAGAAATCGCCGAGTTACTAGCCTACGAAAACACGTCCTCATGCATTTTGCCCCACAATGTAAAGATCGCATACTTCGTCGAAATTCCACCTTGATTGCTTGTATGACTATATAACGGATATTATGTTCGCTTCGCTCAATAGCAAGAGCTCAATGACTCTCACTGCACTGAATATGGTGGTTGAGTGTGCTTCAGCTGCTTTGTTAAATCAGCTTCGTGGCTAGAGCTCAGATCTATCTAAATGTCACAGCGCAAGAAGATCCATTGAGCAATTGAACAGATTTGATTAACGTTTTGTACAACCAGTGGAATTTCTACAAAGTATGCGATCTTTGCATTGTGGGCAAAATGCATGAGGACGTGTTTTCGTAGGCTAGTAACTCGGCGATTTCTACAGACTGGAGCTTGAGACGTGCACCGTTCGATGGCACACTTCCTAATTACTTTAACCTTTATAAGCAGTCAAGCAGGTTTTCTGACAGGTACGCGAGAGGTGCAGGCGAATTTACGAGCTTTCGTGATTTAGTTACAGTTACCTCACTGTGTCTCTCCAAATGAACTTGTAATCCTCAGAGACCACGATTTTCGTAATGAGCGTGTTCGAAAACCTCTATGAGCGGAGTTTTTTTACATTTCAGAAGTATCAACATTTTGACCACAATCCATCGGCGAGCTTCCAGAGCCTAAAACGGGAAAAATGAAATAACCCGAACATCTCGGAAAACTTGCTCATAGAGGTCATCCGATCTGCTGATTACGATAATCACATCTGCTTAGCAAAAGAGCTCCGTAATCTAGAGCTATGGCGAGTAGAATTTAAGACGACAAGAATTTTCCACATTTTACCCTTCTATTTCCTTTAAAAAGAAATCTGCGGCTACTGTTTGGTGCATCATAATCTACAGGACAAGTAGTATCGAAAAGATCTTGCTGGAATTTACTCGGGACAATGCTCGCTGCTTTACACTTTCGCGAAGAGGCGTACGCAGAAAGATTCAAGAATATTGAAATCGAGATATCAAAGACGATGTATATAGACTTGCCTTGATGAGCTGAGCACAGTACAGTTTTCGGATTCAAAATATACTTACTCCGAAGGAAGTCATGGTGTGATTTTTCCAGAATTCACCGGCGCTTCTACCTTTTTTGGAAAGAAGTCTGCAGCTACTATTTAGCGCACGATAAGTACAGGACAAGTAATCTAATAGTAATAGCGCATATTAGGTTGCTGCATAAGTTCTGTCCGATTTAA